CGCACATCTTAGCAGAGGCTTCCAGAGTACTGTGTCGCTCTTGTCTTGATAAATTGGCCGCAGACAGAGCAAAATGCATCTGCCAGATGCTTCGAGCCTCTTGATACCATCTCAGAAAAAATCAGATATGTATCCACTTAGGCAGCTGGAACTAAACTGAACTGGTGGGCTTGAGGCTCCTGTATTTATACAACTATTTATATTACTGGAAAGTTCTAGAATGTTCCAGAAGTTACCCCAAGTTTACTCAGCACTGAATCTGTCTGGAATGTTCTGGAAAATAGGTAAATAAAAAATATCACTGTCCTGGTCACAAAACTAAAGTTTGTGGGGAGTAATAGCCATTTTCTGTACTTTTGAGGCATAAGAAATTAGGAAATAAGACTTACTACCCAGGAATACATTTTTTTTACAGTTGTATTAACGGCGTCCATTGATAATTTTTTTATAGACTCTACATTTACATTGAATGTGTTTTTTTTTTGCCACCACTATGCACAGCCCAGTTTATTAATATTACACGCATGGTTGGCAAGTTTAATGCAGGGGAAATGTATTGTATCGTGCAATCCCGTGACCGCTGAAATATGGTGAAATTACAAGAGAAACGCTCACTGAGAGGCTACATTACCACCATATTTTGAGAAAAAACTTTATTAATGCATCAACAAATTACGTGCGTAATAAAAGTATTTAAATTGTGACACTAGGAGCTGTTTCTTTTATGCGTGTAAACCTTTAATACCAACCGGGATTCCTAGGAAATAAACACAATTCATTGCATAATGAAAATATGCTGTAAAGCATTGTGCAGCCTTAGCCACAAAGAAAATGTAATACACGCTAATAGGAATGAATACTTTTTTCTTCAGCAATGTGATGATGTTATAGTTTGGTTTAATAATTTTTCACTGTTAAACAGTGTGTGTCACTAAATATGTTACATAGGGAGTGTGGGGAGCGGCAGTGGAGCAGTTAGCCCGCTGCACTACGAACCCGGCGACCCGAGTTCACGGCCAACATCGGTGACGATTATCTGAACCGGTCCTAGGCCTCCCCTAGGTCGACTCGGCCTCAAATGAGTACCTGGTGAGGTGTGTAAACATCGCCGCTGGGGATACAAAGGCGGCCGGGCGTGGTTGTTGGCCACCCACCCCCTCGTGTGCCATGCCGGACTTCATAGGTGATCGCTAACAGCACTTGCCCCAACAGTCTGTTGTATGTATGTTGAACTTCTTTCACACCGTACGTAGCTAACCGTGCTAATTGGAGATGCGAGCGAAGGACAACAAACACAACACAAAGCAGTTCTAAAGAAGTTAGTTTTCAATCTAGATGATTGTGGCTTCCTAATATCGGAAGGAAGAGCGTTCCAGACGGCCACAGAAGCACATCTGAAAGCGTGCAATGCAGTGACCGTCTTTGTTCATTGACCAAAAGCCACTGCGAGGATTACTGGGGTTCTCCGTGATGGTTTATGTTCCTTGACGAGATCAGTAAAGTATCGTGGTTCATTTGTGGCAAACACTTTGTGTGTAATGGGTGCGATGTATTAGTGTGGCAACCGGAAGTCAATGCAGCTCAGTAACCATCAAAAAGGCTATACGGGGGATCTTTGTCTTTGCATGTCAGTGAATGGGGGTTGTGCTCTCGCCCAGCTTTTGCTTGAGATATCTCGTTTGTTTCGCATAACTCTTGACGTGATTTTTTTTGCATTGGCAGACAGTATTCCATTGGTTACAATCCAAAATATCAAAATGAGATATTCACTTGTTGAATTTTATTCGGGGAATGGATTTAGCTGCTGGAAAACAGTCACGGTTTAGGCAATACACTTTTCACAGTGGCTACTACACAGGTTGTACACAGGTCACAGTGAAACATGTTCCATGGGTCGATATTGCACTTCCGAAGATTCAAGTCAATGCGACAAATAACCTCTGACATACAGCATCATTCATACCGCGGGATACAAATTATGACTCCACCTGCAGGAGTATACGGAGCAAGTTTAATTGGGGCAGTGACGTCATTTCTAATGTGTAGGCTACTTCTGTGCCGGTGTTTATGATCAGAATTTTGGTAAAATTCAAAAATGACCCATAAATTACTAAATTTGGATGTTCAGAGCAGTCACAGCCCTGTAATGGACAGCCATGCCCAATTGCAGGCCAGGTGCTCAATCACTTTGTTGCCCACTGGGGGTGCCCTCTCAAATATGAGATGTAAGTCGCTGAACGCGTGTAAAACACTCTGAAGTGTCACCGGCATGAAAGGTAATGTATCAAAAACTAATGACGAGTGTCATCAATGGAATATTCGACAAGAGTTGCATAAAGAGAAGTCTCTCAACAAACAACATACACATATTCTTGGTTCTTTCGGTAAAGTCACGTAGAAGGGAAACAATAAAATAATAAAAATATAAAACAATAAAATTCTCACGACGTTTCGACTGCAACACAACACCTCGGCCATGGCAGATCACTGTTATAATTCAGTAGGCTGACATGACATTGACTTCTCCAAGACAGGTTCTTTGCAAGCCATCTGGCTACCATGAGAGATTCGTTCATGAGGCTATCCACATATACAAACACAGAGACAATTTCAACCGAGAAGATGGATTCTGGCTTAGCAATCATTGGAAGGATTTGATAAACCATTTCGGGTCTTAATTGTTCATGCTTACAGTGGCTTTCAGACCGCATCCATTATTTTCGTCTCCCCCCTCCTCTTTTCCGAACATAGATGGACTCGTCCATCTGAACAAACTGTTAAATCGCTCTCCGCCACTTTTTTCAAATTTTCTTGCTGTGGTTTTCACACCTGATGATTGCTTGTGTTGCAGTCGAAACGTCGTGATAATTTTATTGTTTTATATTTGTATTATTTTATTGTTTCCCTTCTACATGACTTTACCGAAAGAACCAAGAATATGAATCCCTGCAGTCACGAAAGCTTTAAATCAAAACAATATACAAATTGTGCAGGGTTTTTCTTTCTTTCAGAAATCCAAGGCACTGCATTCAAGAGAGCAGCTCAAACAAGTCCTTTTGATTGCAGATAGAGTGTATGGAGCATGCTTTGACTGGATATCTTTGCATTTCCTTTTCCATTCATGTGCAAACAAGTTGATGCATGCATATTGTGGAGTGAATGTAAGTGAGTGTGAGTCTGTCGCCGGACCATGCTGCTGTAGAATTATTGACGGACATGTAGAAAGTTGTGAGTTCAAATCCTGGCCAGGGCTAGATCAAGTTAAATATGGGCCTGGGGCTGTTCTAGTTTTGGGGGCCCTTGTTTGTATATTCACGTACTTCACTTGAGTGCGTTTACATGTTGAATACAAATTATAAAGATAAATGAAAGTTAAAACAAACTAAACTTATATTTCAGCACACCACCAGTGAGGCTATTGCTTGACCAAATTGCTTATAAGATTCATAATAGCGTTACAGTATCACGTTTAAACCATTATAAAGCTTAATGCATTTTTGGAGCCTTTAAAATCGGAGGACCCAGACTAAAGTGTTAATCGGAAAACATTGTGAAATGTCAACATTGACCGTTCTTCTAAGGCAGTGGTTCTTAACATGGGGTCCATGCACCTCCTGGGATTGCGAGGCGCCCTTTCTGGTGGTGCGAGACATGCCAGTCATTTTCAGAAGGTAAATAATCGAAACACGAATTAAGCACGGGCGCGTGCGTTCAACTACCTTGTTTCATTAAACCTATGGATTTATTAACATTCTACATTTTTGTAACGGTTGAGAACCAAAGGGGAGCAAGGCTGCCGTAAAGGTTAAGAACCACTGCATTTAAGGCTATACTCGGTCTCAGTCCAGGCACATGGAGTTTCCACCATTGGCTCAGGACCTGCAACAATGATGAGACATGCTCAATGTTCCCTGGAAAGTAAGATACACCCAAAACCTGCGTCTCCAGTAATACTAAAGTTAAAGAAATCTCGTCTCACACATACCGGATTCTAAGATGCACCCCCAACTTTTGCTTTTCAATGCAGGGGAAAACAGTGCACTTTATAATGTCGTGAAGACGGAAATATTGTTACGTAATTATTTCATGCTAAATGGCTGGGATACGAAATTAGCATATTGAATTGTAATATGTATTATTTCAACGTCATTATATTCCCAAACAGAGTACATGTACAATTCGATTGCAAAAAATACTCAGTCATTATCAGCCATGATCTATTAACTGCTGGATGCCAATGTCATACCTCACAGTTTTGTTATGCCATCTGGATATGAGTTGAGCTTATAACACAATGTCTGCAGTGGAAGTCTGTCCTTTGGCAGCTATTCCATCACCAGTCTTGTCCATTGGCCATTATCTTTTATATTGATGTGTCTTGTCCAAACCCACTTAACAATTTGAATGATGTCCTTAACCTGTGTATGTTATTTAATCTATGTGTTCCTCTTTCTGTCTTAATGCAATTACATTTTTCATTAACAACTGTTTCTGAGCCATGTCATAGAAGGTTAAATGTAAGATTAAATCTTTATTTAAGCACATTACAGTGGTTTGTTGATTTTTATTCTGAAAATTAATTTGTACAACAGGTATGATCAACAAGATATTTGTTGAGAAGTGCACAGCTGTAAAACACACCAGAGTATGTATTCCGAGGGGAGTTTTTGAAGGCTGATTGGGATAAAAAAAATTATGTAACAGAGAGGTGGATAAGAGCCGATTGTAATACTTTTGAAAGACTCAATTAAATAATGAAAAGCAACATACCCAAGTGTACGAATAATGAAGTGTGTAATCAGTGTGTGCGTTACCCGCAATAACATATGGCTTAGCACTGCGGTCCATATTGCATTTTGAATGCACGTGTCATAACGTATACATTAACGAGGCACAGGCATCCTTAAGAACAAAGAGCCCCCAGCCCCGGCTCTGTAGCCTCCATCTCTCATTGGCTTTCAGCTGCACAAGGCGTGATTCGTGGGCGGGATGTGGCTGGGAGAGAAAAAAAAATCTTCCCTGCGCACATCATCCAAGCCTCCTCTCCTGCTGCTCTGAAGGCCGGGAGGGCTGCACCTGCACCTCCCACACCACCCTCCTCCTCCTCCACCACCACCATCCCACCCCCACTACCCATCAACATCATCACCACCACTGCTACCACCAGCATCAACAGCAGAAGCACCACCACCACCGCCCATCCTTTCCTCCCTCCACTCTGCCCCAACGGGCAAATCCGGCCGGATCGGCCCCGAGTTACACCCACAGTGCCACACCTCCTAGCCGACCCTGACATCTACCTGCCAACCGACCTGCCTACCCACCTGCCTTGCCTGCCAACTACCGTTTAATCCGCAGCGTGGAGGCCTGAATTAGAGAACCAGAGAGAGAGAGAGGGGAGAGAGTGCGAGGGAGGGTGGTCTGACTCTCGCAAGGAGCCCTCCACGAGACGCGCGGACATCGCACAGCTCGTAGCCAGGAGACGACGGTGACGCGAGGCTGCGCGCAACCAAAAGGAGGAGGACGAGCAGCGGGAGGAGGATTGGAAGAAGGACACAGACGGACAGAGAGACTCAAGAGAGACACGGAGGGGGGCTGGGGGAGAGACACCGAGGCATGGCGGCGGCCGAGGCTGCCGCTGCTGCCGCCGCCGCTGGCGGCCTCGCGCCGGCGCTACCGCTGCGCAACATGCGGATGAAATTCGGCGTCCTCATTGGGCTCATCCAGGTCGGAGAGGTGTCCACCCGCGACATCGTGGAGACCGTGCTCAACCTGGTGAGCTCATTCCCACGTACTCACCCCCATCCCTCTCTCTCCCCACACTCCTCCGCGTGTCTTGCGTTGCTATTGCTGCGTTGTTATTCCTCCGATTATAATAATACCGTAGCGGTAGATTTGGATCCGCCGGCCCCATCACCAGTACGGTACAACTCAAGTGACAATGGGCATCTCTGGCTCGGGATCTTTTTGTGTCGCTTTGCAAATGCTGTGTCATAGCGAGGCGCGGTACGCATGTGTGTGATGGACACTTCACGTTTCTATCCCCCCCCCCTTCTTCTGTAGTTACTCATCTCGGAAGAGATCGCCGAGTCTCATTGCTCATTTTCAGGAGCGGTCGTGCATTGTGATGATGTTTGTCCAGTTTCCGCGTTGGGGAGTGTTCCAACAGCGCATTCACGACGAGTGATAGTCCCCGCTGTAGCTGTGACCATTGTGCAGGGCGCTGCTATTGATATCACGGCTGTCCTTCATTCAGCCACCGATGACGGTGAATAACACCGCCATACACCTTTACTCCATATTTGACATACACATGCGTGCCCATCTCGCGTGTAAAAGTCATTCATTCATTCGCTCGGAGCGAATTCCCCACGAATAACGGACGCATCATAACTGACCGGCGTGGTACGTCCAGTAGAGCATGTGTTGGGCAGGCACTATACATTGTCACTGTTGTTCCTGGGATCATTGTGTCTTATTGATATGGTCGTGTGCTCGTTTCGAACCAACCCACCCGCGTTACACACGAGCCCCGTACACAGCTGACACGTCTCGCGTGTACGTCTTGAAAACGGCAGGGACCAACAAGCACGGGCACAGTACCGTGTACGGAACTGTGCATGGAGGTTTACGATGGATGTGACAGTGACGACGATGATGTTGATGCCTGGCTGTAAGTCTGACATTGCGTGTGATTACGTCGATTGTCGTGGTGTGGCGTTTCAGCGCGCTGCGCTACGAACCCGGCCACCTGAGTTCGATTCCCGCTCACGGCCACCACCAACATCAGCGATGATTATCTTCACCAGTCCCGGGCCTCCCTTCTGCCGCGGTGTGCAAACATCGCTGGTGGGGAGACAAAGGTGGTGCCGGCCACCCACCACCTCGCGTGCCACAGTGCCGGCCTTCATCGGTGCTCGCTAACAGTAGATGCCCCAAACAGTCTGTCACGGGCTATACGGGGGATCTTCGTATTTGTATCTCCCATATCTATACGGACGCATCGAGCCACTGAATAGATGCGCGCACCCGACACGGATACGAGATTGACAAGCGGCGGGCACGCAAATGCCCACGTGCATCGTTGCGGCGAGCGACCGTGCGAATTTCGGGAATCCTGGCGGACTGGAGCGTTGTTGCGGTTACAGCGGTGCAGCTTGCGCCATCCTATATAGTGCCCGAGAGTCGTGTGTTAGTGTCCGCGCGATGTGTTTGTTTCAGTGGAGCGCATTGGCCCAGACTCGGGATGGGTTGTTGAAAGGCACGGAATCCTCGATGCCGTTGTCAGTGGGCGCAGCGGATGTCAAATGTGTTGTCATTTGTCGCAGAATTTTGTTTCCAATTGCACGGGAAACGCGACGCTGTTATGAAATCGTGAATACACGCGTGTTGCCACGTATGCGCCGAATCCATTGTGTCGCGTTGTATGGCACTGATATATATAGTGTAAGTGGCACACGGTATTAAATGCAGTGCGGCATATGTCACATAAAGGAGAATTGTTCTTCTTTTGTGCCTGCTGTCATTCTGTTATTCTTCTCGTTCGTGTGCACCATAATTGTGTATTGTCAATGTGAATGGGGCATTGGGCTTTTGTTGGCAGTGGGGTCGTGTGTGTGTGATTTCAGGCTCTCTCATTTGCATTGGGGTCTGGGACAGCTGTCCCATAGGATCCCGGTCACACATACACAGCACCCCCCCCCCCCCCTGTTCATGGTGACAGCAACTTGCATCAAGACAGCAGGAATAGCCAACACATTTAAGCCAAGGATTCATTTCGCTTTGGAAGATATTCCCTGATAGTGGGGTGGAGGGGAATTAATATTTTCCGGAGCTCAGCACCGGACAGCTCCGGCTGAAATGAAGCCCTGATCCAAACCGTTGTTGTTATCCACTCCGCCGCCAGCGCTGAGCTGGAACGATAAGGCTCGTAGACTCCACGCCTGTACGGAATGCAAGTAGTACTGTATTCAATGTGCGTGTGGAGACGCTTTGCATATAGCATCCAACCCACAACATCTTGACCACTTTGTACCGTCATCAGCCATGATCAATCCACTGCTAGATGAAGGGAGGCCTTCTCGATTCCGGCGACGTGATGATCCACCTAGCACGCAAGCTGATTGTATCGCTCCATCTCGTCGGCGGACGTAATCACACCGCACACGCCGCGTTCGCTTCCTTGGCTGCAACTCCGTCATTCTTGTTTGACCAAAAGCTATGTTATTATCCGTTTTATAAACGTGTCCTCCCCTCGCCCGCTGTATTGTTTGTATATTGTACACAATACCGTCGTGTGTAAGATGACGATGTGTGTTGGATGCATTGGACTTGTGGCTTTGAGTGACAGCAGTTCAATGCCTTTAGGCTATTGTATTTGTAGAATTGTCGATTCATTCATTACCACATGGCGTTTGAAGGTTGTGCACCATAGCGCCAGCCCACATTTAAGTAGGCGAATGAGCCCACAAGGTGCGGATTGTAGTTTGATTTGCCTGCCAATGGGATACCGTTGCACTACTTGACTTGGGTAACTGAAAAAACATGCGAATACATGTACACAAAATGTTGGGCACCTTCCCTATAGAGACCCGAATCACCCGATCCTAGACTGAGGCCCCAATGTATTATTCACGACTGTGCAGAGCAACGGGAGGATGCTGCTGTTGGTTGGGTGGTGTGTGTGTCTACACTGTGGGTGGGGGAGCGGTAGTGTAGCGGTTAGCACGCTGCACTACGAACCTGGCGACCCGGGTTCGATTCCCGCTCACAGCACTTGCCCCAACAGTCTGTTACAGGCTATACGGGAGATCTTTGTCTACACTACACCGTGCTGACGATGTACATTACAAAATGGGCGGAAAGTCCCTAAATCCCCTTTTTGGTTCTGTTATAGGGTCTTTCCGCCCACCCCATGCACACACATGGTATGATAGTACACATCCACAACGACGCGTGTGCATATATGTATAGCCCCTGCTCATCAATCCACTGCTGGATTAGGGCATCCCCAAGCCGTGCAGGCAGTGAGGGTTACTTGACCATACTTCACCACGCTGGGCGGCGGCGGTTGGTGAGATGGGGGGGGGGGCGAGTGCAGAACGGCATTGGGGGTTTGCTGCACAGGCCTCTTGGATTTGTGGTCTTCCCCAATGCAAGCTCTTATCCAGGCCTGACATTTCCCCCCCTGCTTGGCTTGCGATGTATGTGCTGGAGTCCAATGCGGTCGATATTTGGCCAGTCCAAGGCGAGTTTCCTTGTACTGGCGCTGCGGTGGTTGATGAACGTTACAGTATTCGCACACCTACAACCGCGTATGCTCTCCACAGTCTACACCATACCTGTTCACAGCACATGCGTGCCACGTGCGCGCCACTGTGTTTGGCCACTGGCTCAGTCCAGTTTCGCTCCACAGCACGCGCTGCCCGGGGGTCACCTGCAGTACAGGGTAGTGGTCCAGTGGTCAAGATGTCTCGTGACCCCCCCCCCCCTGATTCATTGACCCCTAATGTGTGTTTTTTTCCCTCTGTCTATTCATATTTGTTTTAATTAAACTTTACTTTAAAAACATAAGTGTTAGAGAATTTAATGGGGGGGGGGGGGGGATCACAATACAACCTGACCCACCTTGTACACGATAGTAACCGCTACGCGCGCACTTAGTGTGAAAAAGGATCTTTATAGCTCACCGGATTCCTGCATGATGAATACGCACTCGGATTCTGACACAGCGCTACAATTCCAGGGTGTATCGATAGCAGCAGCAGCAGCGGCGGCAACAACAAAGGGCTCGGAGCTAGCTGGGACAAAACGCCTCGACGCGGCGCCTCGCTTCTGAGCGCAGAGAGGGGACAGGCGGCGCAGAGAGGGGACAATCCCCTCTCTGCGCCTTGCTGGGATGTTCGGGTCGCGGAGTCTGTTGCGCTCCGCTTACCATTGCTCTCTGGAACCTCGCGGCGCGGTGGGGGTGATGTGGGGGTGATGCGTGGGAGCTGTCCCCCCTACCCCCCCAGCCCATTGTGCCTTAACTTTGGTAGTCGGAGGCCCCCTGCAGATACGCGATATAGAAATCTCCGGCATCTGCGCGAGCCTCGCCAATGCACGACGTCGTCGGCAGGTATCGCCCCCCCCCCCCGAGTCGCCTTGTTACTGGGCGAGTTAATGTTGTGCGGTGGGGGGGGGGTGCAGCGTCCTAACCATGATGATGTTGATTATTCTGTGGTTAATGGTGGTGATCGTGACTCATGCCGTTGTGCGCGTGTGTTCGTTTGCTTCGGAAATAAGCAACTCCGCAGTGCAGATGGATGGTTTGCGGGTCTCGCGGCACAACCTCGCTCGTAAGCCCCCCCCCACCTCCTCTTTCCCTCGTCTCTCTCTCTCGCCATCCGTTTCATTCACCTGCAGCGTTAATAACAACAGGATGATGTCGCGTTTTGTTCATTCCACAGATAACCCCGCGAGTTTCCTGCGTTTGACACCGCCACTTGTTTTTGTTCGAGGGTTTCAGTACCGGCGGCTTTAACTAATAAGGGGCACATTTTTCTCTCTCTCTCTCTCTAAAGGTATATATCGGCTTTCTCCGGGGGTAACGATAGCACCCGTATCTACTTAGCATTTCGCGCTGACCTTGCCAAGCAAACGAGGCGTCGTGTGTTTTCACACTCTTAATGCCAGACACGTTCTCAAATGCTCTGCGGACGTGGTGCCGTACACTGTTTTTTTTTCTCTCTGCATGCAAAATAAACGAGATTCCTCTTGTGTACCTCGCTGCCAAA